GTCATTGTACACCTAACCCTTAACTATACCCCACAAAACCATAATAAAAAATACTGATTAATGGAAAAAAAAAAAAAAGAGTCACTGATAGTAATTCTATAACCTATGCCCAGTAATCGGCACCAAGATTTTACCATGAACATCTTTGCTCCAAAGATGGGTTTCTAACTGTCAGTCCAGTCCCTCTGTTTACATGACAAGCCACCTGGTCTCCAAGATGAAAGAAACACATGAAAGAAACGAACAGTCATGACAATCTCCAGCTCTCCTGCAAGAATGCTATCTCATTCATAAACACACTCCCAGCTAAGTACCCTCTGGTTCCCTAAATCTAAGCACTTTGAAAACTACCGTTTTTGTCTTAAGGCTCTAAGACTTTGTTGTCTTGACCTTGGCCCAATCTCCCTGTCTACATGATCAATTCCTTGAAACTCAGGCCACTGCCATCTCTCACAGCTAGTTGCCATGGCAGCAACAACCGCCTCCACCCCATCACTGTCCGCAGGAATGCTCTTTGTAAGCCAATCAGTTCCCATCCCCAGCGTCCTGGAAAAGGAGCTCTATAAAAACGCCCAGCCTCAAGCATTCACCACCAAACATTCCCTAAGTGTCTGGCCTCTTCTCCAATCTTGGAGAGGTGGAGCCACCCTTTGTCTCTGATAAATCTGAGAGTCTGACATAAAATAAAGTATCTGAATTTGAGGCATCTCTGCTGTTTTTCATTTCCAAGCAAATCCCTTCCCTCATGAGTTTCAGCAAATATGCCTTGAGTACCTAGGAAGTTATAGATGGGTGACCAAAAAAGTTGAAATTATGATTTTTTAATGGTCTATGGTTTTTCTCAGCTATGGTTTTAAATTTTGCAGTGTGCTTTTGGATCTTGGCTCTTTTAGTGTTCTATGTTTTGGGGTGGATGAAATTCCTAATCAGACAAGGTTTTGAACTACAGAGTGAGGCCAGCTGTAGAACATAACTCTACAGTGCACCAAGTGGTAATAAATATAGCAGAAAAATAGAGCAGGGTAAGGAATGTGAGGTAATAGTTTATATCTAATTTACTAAAATATTTTGTTAAATATTGAAACTCTATCATACAAGTTTTAAATTTTAAAAATGTAATGAAACTAAAGATAAAATTACCTGAAAAATTCCTGATCTTTCAGAATAAGTAATAGCAAGCATGTATTGAACATTTACTCTCCACTTTAAAAGAATGTAAGCTCCATGGGGGTAGGATTTTTGTCCATTCTATTTATGCTGTATCTCCAGAAGCTAGAAGTATTAGGACATAGTAGACACTCAAGACATATTAATTGAATGAAGGAAAATCCATCTATATATCTATCTATCTATCTATCTATCTATCTATCTATCTATCTATCTATCTATAGAGAGAGACAGAGACATACATGCCAGGCTGTGCTTTCTAGGTGCTCATTAAATTCGTTTATTCTTCAGAATAATTCTACAAAGTAGGTATTACTACATTTCCTAGTTTATAGATGAGGACACAAAGGCAAAGAGTAGCTAAGAAACTCTCTAATAAGTGGCAGAAGCAGGATTTGAACTCAGGTGGTAGTCTCTGGAGCCCTCACCCTTCATACCTCTGTTATGTTGCCTCTTACATAAGTCAATGCTGTACTTACACGAGAAAATATGCTTCTCTCTGTCTGAATAAGCTTCGTAAAGTTAAACATTCGAAGAAGGGCATTGCTAACAATTCCCATAAGAACAGGAAAACAATTCATTTTCTTGGTATTACATGCAACTGAAAATCTGTAATCCTTAAAAAAATGAACACAAATATAAGTTATAAATTCTTACAGTAAATATATTTATTTTATATTTCATATTTTGCCAGAGCAAAATTAGGGTGAAAAGAAGACTATTAACTATTGACATTTTTGCCTTTTAGGGTTTGGTACAAGAATGTATTACTTTTGTAATACAAGTTACTTGTTTTGAAAGTATAGTAGATTAACATTCACTAACACGGAAAGATGTCAAAGACTTATACTTTATGTGACCTCTTGGTTGCAGGACTCCTATAATATTATTTCAATTTAGGAAATATATTTTTAAGTTTTCCATAGTTTAAAGTATTAGGATGTAGCAAAAAAGCATTCATGATAAAACAGTATGTGGAGGCAAACATACCTTCTGGTCACCAGACACTATGATGGCTCCATTGTATGAAGGATCATCTGAGCCATTTCTATTTCTAAAGTCATCTATTTCCAAAACTATATCTTGATCTTTTAGTGAATGTATAAGGTCTTCAATACTTGATCCTAATGTAGTCAATGAAGAAAGACAACAAGAAAAAAAAAAAGCAAGAAAATCAAAGTCAAAGCTTTAATAATGATTTCCAAACATGTTAAGGAAAACTCAGAATAGCATGGTAAAGAGCCCCACTCTTTGGGATTATAATGATGTTCACTCTGATGCTAGGACATTAAATACAGTCTACCATCTTCAATACCACAAACTCCTTTCATAAATATGTTCATTTATCTTGTAATCCCCATAGGGCAAAAAGAGTTTACTCATGAGAATCAAGATTGCACTTCTCACAGAAACAAAACTTTTATTAATGACTTTTATAAACTTTGCCAGAACCTTGTGATATTTGTAATTATAAATAATACACACAAAATGCACCTCATGACCTAGCCTTGTTCCAGTCATACAATCAGTGTTAACCTGCTATGCCTTGCTAAGCTTGCAGTGATATTTAACTTGATACAGAACTTGATAATTGCCATTGTGTCCATTATTTTCTTGACTTGAAAATGAATCCATCAATTTCCTTAACTTGAAAATGGAACAGGCTGGATGGATACTATTTTTCCCCATTGTCGCTCAGGCTTATGCTTTCTAAAGATCTTTGATAGTAAAAATGAGCACTAAAGTTATTTCTTACCTGTATTATTAATGATTAATAGGCTGGTAAGAGGAGGTTTTACGATTTGTTCCCGAGAAAGGAAATACATACTGGGTGAGAGCTCCCAACAATGAATTTCATGAAATACTTTATATATTATCTTCTCCAGAATGACAGGGATAAAAGCAACTCCAAGTACCAGTAATCTAAGTAAAAGAAAATTAATAAACAAGTTTGAAATAATTTTCTTCTGATTATTTAGGTAGCAAACATACTATATAAAAGCTACCTATGGAAATTCATCACGTAAATTTAACCATTAAGTTTGTGAACTCATTGGAGAAAAATTGTTGCATATCTCATTGCTGACTATCACTTCGATCACATTTGAAGCACTCTTCTTGGGAAGCTATGCACCAACATCAGCGCCTAGTTCACCTGTCAAAGCAATTTGGGAACCCGTTCTGGAATGGCCATCAGAGCTGTAGTTGTATTACCATGTTGTCCTGAATGTCATCAAATGTTTTCCTTTCAATATTTCCTTTATTTTTGGGTGAAAAAAAAAAGCCATTGGGGGCCAGATTGAGTGAGTAGGGAGGGTGTTCCAATACAGTTATTTGCAATAGGCTGCCAACATAAGCCCACAGGATAAGTTCGCAAACTTAACTGGCAGAACTCAACAAATAATGACAACAGCCCTGATGGCCATTCCAGAAAAAGAGTTCCAAAATTGCTCTCACAGGTGGACTAGGTGCTGGCATTACCACATAGCTTCCCAAGGGGAGTATTTGAAAGGGGACCATAGTGATATTCAGCAATGAGGTATGTAGCACTTTTTCTCGGATTGTTCATGAAGCTAATTGTCGGACCTTTCACATACAACCTATGGTGTTTAGTTAGACAAAATGAAACATACAGTGAAAGTAACCCAAAAATGAGCTCAAAATTTTTACATAATTCGTATCTAATTGCAATGTATTTGAGGGTAACAGAGCATCAGGAGAAAAGGTGAAATCCACGCACATTGCTCTATAGAAAAACTGGTTGACCAGGACAACATGGAAAATGGTTTTATGAGATACCAAGAGCTTCAAGTTGCCTTCTCAGGTAGTTTTGAAGAGAAAGAAGTCCTACTTTACACTGTGGCCTCAGGCTTACAATGTGCACAGTTACAAGTAAAATTGTTTACTTTAGAACCACCTCTCAATCAAATGTTTAAGAACTTCCCTTTTGTCAAAGTCAGTGGATGCTTTCTGTTCTCACCTGTTACTCCCCGCCCCTTATTTGGTAAGACCCCATGTTTTCTAATCCTGGCTCAGATGTAGCCATTTCAATGAGACCACACCAACCAATCTACTTAAAATTGTAATGTACCTCCCACTCTCACTTCCCTCTTCCACTTTTTATAACCTGCTATATACTTTATCAGTTTTGTATTTATTATTTTTCATCTTTTCTCCCCAATCAGAGGTAAACAACATGAGGGCAGGATGCCTTTTGTGCTCATTAATATAACCCAAGTTCCCTGAACAATGCCTAGTACATATTAAATCAATAAAGATTTGTGACATAATTAACAATAACATATTCGTTGGGTGATTACTTAATTGGTGCATTTTCCCCCACGAAATAGTAAGCTTAAAAGTCTTATCAATTTTGTTCACTTCAGTAGGATAGGTAAAGAAACTCAGAAATACATTAAATGAATGAATAAATCAACAGACATTTTCTTAACATTTGAACTTTTTTGTTCATATATTGACTAAAGAGGTTTAAAAGAGTCTGGTACTCACAAGGACAAAAGAGCTTTCCTCTCACGCCTTAATTTTAAGAAGCGAAGACTTGCTACCGCACAGACTTGTCGTCTCCACAGATTTCCGTTACTGACAGCTTTACTCATTTCAGGAAGAGAACAAAGAGCCCTTTCCATTTCAGATTCATTTCCAGTATCTCTTGTTACATTTATTTTCTCCTGCTTCCCAATGCTAAAATCTATAACCATGTAATAAACCATAATAAAAGGATATATTATTTATACTTTTTATTTTAAAACTCTGAAAATAATGTTAGGATATTTAGGACCACACTTCTTTTTTTTCCTCTCTCTGTCTTTTAATTTTTATTTTAAAATTGTGGGGTACAATTCAGGGCCAGTCATACAAATATTCATTGTGCAGGTGCCCCTGTTGATGAGGTGTGCTCCCCTCCCCCCAGCAGATATCAACGACTGTCAGTCCCACCTCCCCCCCCAGGTTCCCGTTACTGTAAGATCACGCTTCCAACATGTTAAGCTAGTGAGGTTCATAATAAAATTTTTATATTTGAAATCTTATCTTTTCTTCAAACAAATACAATGACTTCAGTTCTAATGAGAGAATACATTAATTTTTAAGGATGATTGAGGCTTCCTGGGAAGTATTTATTCTTTCATACCAATAGCAGCAGCTCTTCACTAAGGAATATTTTTGCAGATCGAGTTTTATGCAAAAGCACAAGGATAGATTTATGTAGCTGAGTTTCCAAAAGGCCTCTTCTGTCATTTGGAATCTCTCACACAGGATTAGTTTATCACTGATGGCTGACATTCAAGTAAATAAATAGACCACTGTGCTTTTAAATAATGCAAAGTCCTCCTGTTTGAGTCCCACATATTAGCTGTACAGTTTGAACTAATCACTAAACTTCTCTAAATCTCAGTTTTTATCACCTGCAGCATGAAGTTGCTATGGGAATTAAGAACAGCATAATCTGGCCAGGCTCGGTGACTCAGTCTGTAATCCCAGCACTTTGGGAGGTTGAGGCAAGTGGATTGCCTGAGCCTGCGGGTTCGAGACCAGCCCAGGCAACTTGGCAAGACCTCATCTCTACAATACATCAAAAATTAGCCAGGCATGGTAGCATGTGCCTGTAGTTCAGGCTACTTGGAAGGCTGAGGCGAAGGATCACCGGAACCCAGCAAGTCGACACTGGAGTGACCATGAGTGTGCCACTGCACTCCAACCTGGGCAACAGAGTGAGACTCCAACTCAAAAAAATAAAAAATTAAAACATATATATATATTCCAAGGACTGAGCACAATGGTTAGTACATAGTAGCCTCCTAAATTCTTCTAATTATTATTATTACATAGTAAACTAAGGGTTAATAACATCTTTCTGTTACTAATACATTGAGTCAGTTTATTAGCTAACTAAGAGCACACTTTTATAAGGAATGTCAAGATGTCAAGAAAGAGATAAAGCCAGAATTTATGACACTAGCAGAGAGCTTTTGATGGTAGGGGACATGGCCATTGCAAATGGGTGTACCTGTCACTGACATGGGAGGGAGAAAGTTATCAGAAAGTAATCTGCCTAGCACTAATACTGATTATGTTAGACATAAAATGTTTATAGCACTTTTAAAAGTGGACATTGCTATTTTATACTTAAAATAAATCCTAGGCAGAAATACACACTAATGTCCACAAACATCAATTGGTACATAGTCCTTGTCTCTTCTCCCCCCCCCCCAATTTTCTGAAACACACACATTTTGATACCTGGTTCATCAGTCACTGATTTGCCTTTTAGGTTCAAGAATACCTCATTCAGAGTTGTCATAGAAACACCATAATTCATTATGCCCTGGTCAGAACACTTATCAAGGTCACCGTAAAGATCTAAAAAGCAGATAGTAACAAATTGATGTGATTAAAATTGGTGATGAACACATTAATATACTAATTTCTAAAGACTACTCAAAACAGATAAATCTACAAATGTTTTCATATTAAAGCAGCCACAATAACCTAAGGATAGTTTATCCACAAGAAATTTCCATTTTATTTAAATTAATTTTATTTTACATTTCCTTTTTGGTTCATAAACTTCAAAATTTCTTATATCACTTTGGCCACATTGCATAAGTATGTTATACTTGCTTATATAAAAATTTATCGGGTTTGAGTAAGTTATATTTTCTTCTCTGTATTCTCTAAATTTTCTATACTGACCATATTACATTTATGATTAAAATTATAATTTGCAGACTCTGTTGAACTGCTAACATGTGTTTTAAAAGAATAAGGTCTTATTTAATCTGCATCTTAATTAAAAGTTTCTGCTCTTATAGAAAAAACATTCAAAGCTTCATTTAATGATAACGAAAGCAAATCTGAGTTTCTCAGTAAAATACATTCACGGAAATTTTAGTTGCTCTAACATTAAAACCTTGTCTCTAGTAAAACAAAACATACGGGGGTGAGGAATCCCCCCAAAACTGGAATTTATTTATTAAAAAATTTTACATTTATTTTTACATGTTTAAACTTCAGTCACCTTCAAGGTATTCTCCACTTGGTGCAATACACCTATTGAGATGCTTTTTCCACTGCTCAAAACAGTTGTTGAACTCATCAATCTCAATGACTTTCAGTGCTTCTGCCATTTTTTTGTTTCACCTCTTCCACATCTGCTAAATGTTTCCCTTTGAGGTCTATTTTTTTATCCAAGGAAACAAAAAAAAGTAGCTCGGGGCAAAATTGGGTGAATAGGGAAGGTAGGGCATGGGAGGAATGCCATTTTTGGTAAAAAACAAAACAAAAACAAAAACAAAAAAACTGCTGAACACTCAGTGCAGTGTGGACAGGTGCACTCCTAAGTCACCCATCATGAAATGGGCAAATGCGTTTACAGAGTCTCCAAAGAAAAATTCACTGAAGCTGAACACAGACTCTTACAACAATGCTACCTGGGTACACTGATGCCAATAGGTTCCTAGAACACTTACCTACTGGGGAAAACCTGTACTTCAAGAAGCCCACCCTCCAAAATATAATTCCAGTTTTTTTTGGGAAATAATATGAGGGAAACCCAACTTCATATTATAAACAGGAGTACTTATAAACAAACACTTTAATTCGTATAAGATGTAAAACTCAACTGATAAAATGACAGAAAATACAGTCAGAATAATCATGGACCCTGAGCTATATTTTATGTAATCATACAGTAACTTACCTGGAAATTTGTTTGTTCTTTCCAAAGGCAAACTATATACAAGTTTTTCATCACTTTCTGCTGTTAACTTGGCATCTGGAATATGCTGCTTAATAAGGGATGTAATTCCCTCTGTATCACATATTTCATTCCTGTGTAAACTGTTTCAAAAGAGACATAAGTCTTTTTAAACTGTTCTCTAACACCACCAGTAATGAAAAGACAGTCTTTGATTAAATTGTGTATGCTACCGGCATATTCTGCTTTACTCCAGTAACCAGTTTCTGCAAATCAAATAATGCTAACTGGTAGATTAGTTTGCATTATTTAGAATGAGAAAAAATATACTACAAGTCAACACCAAATCCAATCCATTTTTTAAAAATGAAACTAAAGCACAGTGAAATTTCAGTATATTCATATGAAATTTCAGCATATATACATATATGTATACACGTGGATATATGTGCATATATACATAAAACTATTTTGATTGTAATACATGAGTGATATATTTATATATTTTATATACATATATAAAACAATGATGATAGGATGTAAAGTGTGTGAAACTTTGCTTCTAAATCACTGGAAAATTAATAAGACTTTTAATAACAGTTGCTTTTGGTATAGTAAGTTATTTCTCTTAATGCCAACAACTTTGTTTTTTTATTTTAAAATTGTGAGGTACAGTTAAGGGTTAGGTATACAAATATGCATTGTGCAGGTACCCTCT